CCAACCCCGTTTCTGACATCCTCCCTCCCCGCCCCAGACCAGATGGCAGAGCCAAGTCTTCAAATCCCTTGGCAGGGCAGCCACAGGCAAACAGGATAGGAAAGCATAGTAGAATTAATCAATTGGGAGCATCTGAAAGTGAAATGAAATCACTCTTTCATTTCAAAGTACTGCTGAGTCTCAGGAGATAGGTAGAACATAAAATCAGTCATAATCAATCTTGTCTTGTGTCCTTTACACCAGAACCTGAAGCACTTTAAAGCTGTTGAGAGATTATCCCCATTTTTCCCCCAATATCACCCTTCACCTCTCCAGGAAAAAAAACCTACAAAATTGATCCACGCAGTCAAGCATCAGCTTCTGCTCCTGCTCCTCATACTGATACGTTTCCGTGGCAATGCTGGTAGCCTGAGGTAGAAAGACAGAAGTTTACTATTTGAGACTATTGGTACAACATCTGGGGAAAATCCAATCCAATCCAATCCAATCCAATCCAATCCCTTTATTACAGCCATAAGGCCAAAAAACAGTGCTATAAAAACCTAAAAAGTAAGCAAATATAAATATACATATGCGTCAATTTACAGGTAGTAAACTAAGATATATAACAAGGAATAAGAATGAAATATAAAAGTACCAGGATAAATGTGCAATAATGATAGAATAAAATAACATAAAATACAAGTAAGGAAGTGAGAATTAGAATCTTCAAGTAAGACATGGTTTGATATGGCCTAATGGCTAATCAATAATAATAATAAAGAATATAAAGATGAATAGCACATATAGAGGCGAAAACAGGGCGACCTGGAAGAGAAACTTGGGTCCTTATCAGATAAGAGGAGCGACAAATAGAAGTTGTGCTCTCTGCCTGGAAATGTCTTCCAATTGGGGCAGATGAGAGTCATCCCGGAGTCCCTGTAAAGGCGACAGCAGAGGACCAGATGGCTCAAAGGCTCTACTGACCCACCCTTACATGGACATCGGGCTGGTGCACTGCGATATTCTTACAGTGTCCAAAGAGGACTGCTGAGGGCAGTGCATCTAGCCTGTCTAAGGTAAAAGCCCTACAAAATTTTGATACTGTAATTGATGGTAAATAGGAGGCTGGTGCAAATACTTTTGGAAGAATTCCCCAAATTATAGGACTAGATCCTAGGCCTAGATTAGATTGAAGGCCTGTGTCCCAGATTTGGGGAAGATGTAAGGACTTTGTGGCACTGCATATGTAATCAGAATGTACAAGACTGAATTTTCCAGAAATCTGCCTCTCATAAGAGAATTCGAGTGAACTGAAAGCTTGCACACTTTTCAGTGGCATTTTGGTTGGTTCTAATAAAAGTATCTGTGCATTCTAAGGCAGCAAAAACTCTGCAGTTCAATTTTACACTGCTGCTGCTGGGATCCAGCCATATGGAAGCACATCTAATTTATTTTCAAGTCCATACAAGTCAGTTTCTTTTACGCAAGAGAACTATAATAGCTATTTAAAAAGCTACACTAGAAGGAAACAGGCCACCTTATAGTATGTAGCAAACTCCTGATCCTGCATTATAGAACACCTGGCTAATAATGCTGTTAATTCTCTCTTTGCAACCCTCCCCAATCATTTTTCTTCATGCAATGGGGCTACATCTAGCCCCACACACCTATGCATGATGATCATGTGCACACACACAAACAATATAAGGCAGCTGAGTCTCACTTCAGTACGCAGTTTCTGGTTCTCCTCCTCCAGCCCTTTAAGCTTCTGCTGGAGTACATCATACTGGAAACACTGCTGCAAAGAGAGGGCAGATTCATTCCTTCGCAGCCTATTGGAGAAAAGGTGGAACAATGAGCAGAGTAGGATGGAGGTGGAGCCACGGCAGTGTCACAGAGCTTTGCATGCAGAAAGTCCAAGATTTAGTCACCAGCATCTCTTCACAGAGCTAGAAAGCCACCTGCCCAAAAGGTTGGAGAGCCATTGCTAGTCAGGGACTAGCTGATACAAGGTTTGTTTTAAAGATGATGTAGTAAATAGACCATAGTAGCTTGATTCATGCATGCATCATGGATTTATAGCATAATGTTTGGGTTCACAGACCATGACAAATAAACCACATTATGGCTGAGTGAGAAGTTGACAATGTTGACAAGTTCTGTCTCAGATGGTTAGAATGGCTGCTTAACCCATTGCAGTAACCTGCTTAATCCCCGGAGAGAGACAAGGAGAGCGGAGGTGGGAAGAGATACTTGGGCAACCTTTCCCCACCCTCCACTTGCTTAAATCACCATGCAAAATGTACATTTACATTTAAATTCTGACACTTGGTTGCAATGGTGCAATATTTCATTTCAGTTCCAATTAACTGTTGTGGTCTGGGAAACCTCACAACCCAGTCAAGAATTCTCAGGGGGGAGGGAAAAAAGTATGTGATACAATACTCTCTTCATTTGCAGCCAGCTAGCAGGGAATGACAACACACACCTAAAGGGAATAAGGTTGGTGAAATCTGCCTTGTGCGTTGTGAAACACTCAAAGCATTCCAATAATACAGGTTTCCTCCTATTAAGGCAAGCAGGCATGTTCGCAACTGTCAGGAACCGAGGTGCTACTTTTGCTCTGCTGCCATTTAAACTTAGAAATACTTAAGTTCTTAGCTGTAGCTTTGGCTTTATCTTGCTGTAATTTGTTTTACATCTGACACTGTTTTTATTACTATACTTTACAATTTTAGAGTTATTTTATTGTATTTTGTGGTACATTATATGTGATGACCTGCAGTTACAACAATAAACTAAACTAGGTAACCTATGTAACTATGTAACCTATGGTTACAATAGACTAACTTACTATTAAGGGAAATATTTTTATCCCCTTGTGCTTTATGTGGCATCTTCCCCCCCTTATCTTCCCTGAGAATTATTCAACATTATTATTCAATTATTCAATAATTATTCAGTTATTCATTTAGGATACCCCCTGATATCCTAAATGAGCTGGAAAGCTACTGTATGTCCCATCTCCTCCCTCCCACCCACCAGTTCTCACTGAGATTTCTCAGGGATATGATCAGTTAGCTCTGATCTTTAGAAAACCTGGCAGGATGATGGGCTATCAAGTCCAACTGGCTTGGGTTTGGGGGGGGGAGGGTGGTGGAGGGAGGAGGTATCCTACCCCCCTGCCTAAATACTCACGGGGTAGAAATGATGGAAGTTGGTTCACTGTCTTCAGTGCTGTTGGTAAACAGATGGAGAAGATCATCCCGCATTGATACTTCATGTCTCAGCTGAGCTATCTTGGAGGGGGAAGCAACAAAAAGTTCAGATAAATATTTTTATTTACTCAACCACAGGGAAAAGTATACTTCAGCACACTCCTGTGGAAGGCATATCCTGTGCTGCTTCTGAACATGCCATACATTCGTTTGTTAGATCTATAGTCCATCTTTTGTTCAGGAATACAAGTACACACAGCCCTCCCTCTTCCCATGTTTCACACAACACCACCCCTGTAAGGCAGGTTGGACTGAGAGAGAGTGAATGGACCAAACTCACTCAAGGAGCTTCTGTGGATGAGGATGGGTCTCCTCAGTGCCAGTCCAACACCTGAAGCACTACGCCATATAATCCTGCTTTCCCCAAAGTGGTGCACCTCAAATGTGCTGGAACTCCAATTCCCAGAATTTCTAGCCAGCACATTGGGCGACCAACAGGTTGGAAATGACTAGTTTTGAATATTGGACTAGGAACCTGAAGACCCAAATTCAAATCCTCACTGACTGTGACTTTAGCCAGCTGCTTTCTCACCTTAAACCAAGGTTCCTCAACCTTGGCAACTTGAATATGTGTGGACTTCAACTCCCAGAATTCCCCAGCCAACCATGCTGGCTGGGG